TGAGGCTGCAGGTCACATACACCTGTGAAGGTGAGATCCTTGGAGGTAGGGGCTTCTGGCCCGTAGCACTTCTGTGCTCCCAACAAGGAGGCCTGTCCCTTTGACACCCTGGCCAAATACACCTCCAGGGTCTTGAGCAGTCGCCGTGGGCTCTTCTTGGCCAATACTTCCAAGTCTGCAACAGAGAGAAGTGGGGAGCAGAAGGCTTGAGGGGGCTCTGGGTGGCACAATAGTCAGGGTCTCGAGCCTAGCAGCTCTAGGGAGAACCCCCAACCCCTATCCCATAGAGAAAAATGTAAAAGAGCCTCAGATGGAGAGATTACCAGAGAGGTCAGCCAGAGAGCCAGATACAGCCACAAGGGCCACACACTCTACCTGGACAATTGTCTGGACAATTGCAACTTTGAATACTCCAACTATTGGACCCTGGCTCCCAATTTTTGATCAGAATATATGCTCTTCATAAGTATAAGGCCAGAAAAGGGCGACAGTGGGGGCAGAGAAAGGAGACCCAGCAGGCTCCAGGGGGTGGGTGATGAAGACTTTGGTAAGCTGGAATTTGAGAAAGTGTGGATGGGGAAGAACTGCAGCCCAAACCAGTCTAGCAACCACCTTGGGCTCTCTGAACCAGGGACACTGTGCAATCGGGAGCCTAGGCCTCCCCAGAAGAAAGAGCTCACCTTTGAGGACAAAGCCTGCGTCTAAGATGGTCTTCCGCTGTGTCCTCCAGACATGTGCGAGGTGGAGGAACGTGGCGGCATAGAAGCTGTTCACCACGGGGATGACTTTTTGCTGCCGATTACACTCTCTGCAGGACAAGCGGGGGTGACCTGCTCAGCAGTGGATGAAGGCTGAGAGCTGGGTGCCCTCCCACCCTCCCTCCCCATTTCCCCAGGGGAGCCAGCCCAAACCCAGGATGCCCCCACCATTCCGCAGGAGCCTGACATGAGGCCAGGGGTGGGAGGAGAGACGTCCCAGGGAGAATGGTGCATGGGGACTTTGTCCAGGCCCTCCAGGAGCCAGCAGGTGAAGTAGAGCTGTGGAAAATGAAGCCGGAGTGGGGAGGAACCAGGCTCTGCTGGGTCACTCTAACCAGCTGGCATTTGGGGACTCACCTGGAGAGACACTCCTCTCTCAAGGCCTGGATGGCAATGCGGGTGATGTTCACGGACATTAAACAGAAAGGGAATTGCTGGAATGGAGGGGGCACCCAGTCAGCAGCAGCTCCAGCCCTCACCGTGTTTCCTGTCATCTGCAGCCTGGTGTGGCTCACAGACAAGCACAGCTCCAGAGGCAACAGCCGATATTATTATTGCTTCCACTTAATTTTCACAATAATCTTCTTCCCATCTTACAGATGAGGAACTAAGGCTCGGTGACCTGAAGTAACTTTCCTAAGGCATGGGAACCAGGATACCAACTGAGGTTATTTGTTCCAGAGCTGCTGTGTGTAACACCCGTGTGAGCTCTCCAGCCTCTTCATCATCCTGACCCATGAGCTCTCCTTGGCCTGCAGCAGACTCACCCCCTTGGCCCACATCACCTCCTGGCATCAGGATGTAGACAGAAGAGAGGGCTCAGTGCTCTAACTAACCCTACAGGTTCTTAAAAGTCTCCTCTACCCTTTTCTGGGCTTCTGGTTGTCTGACTGCTCATGAGCATCTCATCCTAAGGCAGACAGAGAAGACACACGTGGGTAGAAGGTCAACCTGACTTATGGGCACACCCCATCTCTCCATAACACAGAGGCCTGCGTGGGCTATGCAGGTCAGACCCCAAGAGGAGACAGCCTGAGTCCAGCAAGGGGCTGTCAACAGGACAGGCCTGAGTCCAGCAGGGGCGCTTCACCAGGACAGGCCTCAGGATCCCCTACAGGGACAGCTTTACTGCTCTATTTTCAGTCAGGCAAGCTCCTTTCTTTAATAACAATGAAACCAAGCTTGCATAATCTCTGAATGGAAAGGGCTTTTTTCCAGGGAATTTGCAGACATGACATGTTATTTTCTCCTGTTGCACATACACGAGGATACCCAGCGAGAGGAGCACATAGACCAGTGCGTTCCTTAGTACAGAACAAGAGCCAAGGTCTATTTATCCCACCTGCTTCCCAAGAGAAGAAAAATCCATTACATTATGGTATAGACTGCACTGTCCAGTATGGTGGTGACCAGCTGCATGTAGCTATTTAAATGAATTATACATTAAAAACAAATAAAAGTCCAGCTTAGTGGTGGTAGCTACTACCTTAGTACAGTAGCCACATTTCCAGTGCTCAGTAGTCACATGTGCTTAGTGGCTGCTGTACTATATAGTGCATTTCCAATATCTAGAACACTTCTGTCATTGCAGAAGGTTCTTTTGGACAATGCTAGACTGTAGAAGGTCTTCTGGCTCCACAGAGATTTTTCTTTTCTTCTTCTTTTTTTTTTTAAAGAAAAGAAAGCAGATACTTGAGACACAGGTTTTTCTCAGGGTCTTCCATGACACCTGAATTCCAGATCTTGGCCTGGCTACCTGGTAGCTGTGTGTCCTTGGCCTTCTCAAAGCTAGCAGGTAGCCAGGTCAAGATCTGGAATTCAGGTGTCATTCTTAGACCCAACCTCTAAGAAACTCGGCCTTCCCATCTCTCAAGAGCAAAAAGGAAATAAATAAACTTTGAGTACTGTGCAGAAAAAAGTTAACACGCAGGCCTGAGACTCCTTAGAGCCTCAGTCTCAGAAAATTCTTACATCACGCCATGGCTGACAGCTGAGAACTTGGATTTTGAGATGGTTCCCATCATTCCCTAACACTGTTCCTCAACTGCTCATGCAAACAAGATAGTTTATGCTGGCTGGGCCCAGGGCTCACAATCCAGCACTTTGGGATTACAGGTCGATGGGTTACTCAACTCTAGAGGTTCAAGACCAGCCTAGGCAACATGGTGAGACTCTGTCTCTACAAATTTTTTTTTTTTCAAAAAACAAACACAAAAAAGATACTTTAGGCTGAACACCAGCTTTCCCTCTGACTCTAGAATTTTGCTATGTGCTGGCAGAGGGTGCCGACCAGCACCCAGTGAAAACCGTGAGTACTGGGTACTTCTAATAAACTTCCCTGATTGGCAACATTTGACACGTGTTGCGTAATTTGGCAGTGCAGGAATAAAGTGCATTCTGTGTGATTCCACTGGGAGAGGCCTGTTGGACATTAGCACCTGGATTCCTATGGACTTTGTCCCATGCACTTTTTCCCTTTGCTGATTTTGCTTCCATTGTACTAAATCAGAACTCTAAATACAAAAAACTACATGTGGATACATGGAGTCCCTTGAGTCTCTCAGGAATCATTGAACCTGGGAGTGGTCTTGGAAATCCAGTGCTAGTGCCTCACTAGGTGGAGTCAAGTCACTAATCATTACAACAACTCTATGAGAGAGATTTTTTTTTTCCCCTGAAACAAAGAGTCTCACTTTGTCACCCAGGTTGGAGTACAGTGGCGCAATCTAGGCTCACTGCAACCTCTGCCTCCTGGGTTCAAGTGATTCTTCTGCCTTAGCCTCCCGAGTAGCTGGCACTACAGGCATATGCTACCACATCTCGCTAATTTTTTTTTGTATTTTTAGTAGAGATGGGGTTTCACTACATTGGTCAGGCTGGTCTTGAACTCCTGATCTTGTGATCCACCCTCCTTGGCCTTCCAAAGTGCTGGGATTACAGGCGTGAGCCACCGTGCCTGGCCGAAAGTGGCATTTTTAAAACTTGCAAGTGCATGGCATTGAGGAATACAATAGCTACTACTACAATTTTTAAATTGTACTTTAGGTTCTGGGGTACATGTACAGATCATGCAGGGTTGTTGCATAGGTACTTACATGGTAAGGTGGTTCGCTGCCTCCATCCGCCGTCACCTGTATCTGGCACTTCTCCCCATGTTACAACCTCCCCAATCTCTCCACCCCGGCTGTCTCTCCCCTAGCCCACCCTGCCCAACAAACTCCAGTGTGTGATGCTCCCCTCCTTGTGTCCATGTGTTCTCACTGTTCAACATCCACCTATGAATGAGAACATGTGATGCTTAATCTTCTCTGTATCATTCCAATTTTAGTATATGTGCTGCCGAAGTGAGCACTCATGCTGTTTTATTAGGGCTTACTGCTTAAAAAATCAAGTCTCCTCTCTCAAGAGTAAAGATTTTCACCTTGTTTTTGAAATCCTTGAGTTACTGCTTTTGTTAAAAGAATGACTTATTTTACAATGACCTGTGATCCTATTTTGTGATAGAAAGTTTTAAACTTTTGATATTTGACAAACTTTCCAAAATCAAATCATAAATTATGTCTCTTTCTGACCTAATTAATCCTTTAAGATATTAGGCTCCCTGAAGTCCAAAATTGACATAATTTGGCTTATTTAGTATAAAAATTTATAGAAAGCATTGTCAAATATGAAATAATGTATAGTTTTCTTTGGGCTATATTTGTATAAATATGTTACTGCTATGTATTCCACAATTACAGGAAACTCCTATAATTCTGATATAACTTAGTGTACATTATCAGTAGTAATTATAATTGTTATGTTAAAATATTGTGTGCCATAGAGGTAACAAATTTCCTTGTCAATTGTGTCTTTGACTATGGCTGCCTTAAAACTTTTTGTCATCCATGGACAACTGTTGTGTTGTTTGGTCCTCTTTGTGGTTTTATAATCAGCTATAAAAGGCCAGGCATGGTGGCTCACACCTGTAATCCCCCAGCACTTTGGGAGGCTGAGGCAGGCACATCACTTGAGGTCAGGAGTTTGAGACCAGCCTGGCCAACATGGCAAAACCCTGTCTCTATTAATAATATAAAAATTAACTGGGCATGGTGGCAGGTGCCTGTAATCCCAGCTACTCAGGAGGCTGAGGCAGTAGAATCACTTGAACCTGGCAGGCAGAGGTTGCAGTGAGCCAAGATCACACCACTGCACTCCACCTTGTGCAATAGAGAAAGACTAGTCTAAAACTAAATAAATAATAATAATAATCAGCTATAAAACTCCAACAGGGCTTTTGAATGCAGGTTTCTGATAATTTTGGAGACTGTGACATCAGAATAGAGGAAAAACTTTCAGACTCATGGAGAGCTAAAATGTTCATGAATATCAAAGCAGAACAGGAATTAAACTGCATGAACTGAACTAATTTTTTTAACTTTTTGCTTAAAACATTGCTGATCCTTTGTTTTGTTTTTCAGAGTCTTGAAACTTTCCTTTTGAGCTATTGACAGTTTTTAACAAATTAGTATCCTCCTAAGAACAAAATTTGGAGCGTATTTGTTTCTCTCTACCTGATTTATCCAGAATTTGGAAACTATTTGTGAGTATTCTTAAGGTAGTACAGTTATTTGCATAAGTGCAATAAGAATCTGTTTTCATTTGTAACGGGACACAACTGGAGAAACTGGCTATTTTGCCAAAGAATGGTTATTCCTTAAAGGAAAGAATGGTGTGTTTTCCTTTAAGAAATCAAATTTGATTTATGGCACCAATAAAGCCTTTGGGAAACTGGCCTCATATTGTTTGTACACAGTCCCTGAACAGAGTTTCTGACTTGTGTTAAGTAAAGAATGTCACTTTATGACAGGCTCAGGAGCCCCAGGTTTATCTTGAAACCTCAAGAGAAGAGGAAATTCACGTTTCCAGAGTGAATCGCAGTTGTTTGGTAAAATAACCAGTTTCTCCAGTTGTGTGGTGAAAGAAAAATTATGTTTCAAAACTATAGTACACCTGTTGTTAGATCCTAGTCTTGCCTAATGTTTTTTAATTTTTATAATTTTCTACAGTTAGGGCTGAATCTTAATTTTTCTTGGTTACAAGCCTTCAAAATAATGTTTTCAATTTATTTTCCTCCTTTTTTTTCCATTTTCCTAATTTGGAGTCACTGAAAACTAAGCTGTGCTTTCTTAAAGCCCTGCAAACTGAAGCCAGACAACTTCAGAAGAAAATAACAGCAACCTATTTACATACCTAAGCCACTTTCATACCTACCTACTGATATATAGACTTCAGAGTAATGTGGCCTATATTGATTTTCCAGGATTATTCTTTTGTTTGTTGTTGTTTCTCTCCCTCTCTGTATTTTCTCTTCATAGGATATGAGACTTCACAATCTTCTAAAAATGAACTTTCCTAATAACTCAGGACCTAACCATTTAGGAATAAACCAGCCTGGCCATGACTGATCAGATAAAACCTAAGACCAGACACTCATTTTTTTCTAAAATGTTTTCTTCAAAAGATTTTTAAAAAGAAAAGAGGGGAAATGTGAAAGGAAAATATCTTAGGCTGCCCAAATCACTAAGCTAAAGGGAAATGTCAAGCTAGGAACTACTTAGGGGACACCTGCCTCCCATTCTATTCAAAGTCACCCCTCTGCTCTCTCAGATAAATGTGTATCTTATTGCCTCCTTTGGAGATGCTAATCAGAAATTCAAATGCAACCATTTATCTCTTCTCTACCTAAGACCTGGAAGCCCCTTCCCTGCTTCGAGTCCTCCTGCTTTTGCTTCTAGTTGTCCTGCCTTTCTGGAATGAATGCTCATCTTACATATGTTAATTGATGTCTCATATCTCCCTAAAATGTATAAAACCAAGCTGTGCTGTGACTACCCTGGGCACATGTCGTCAGGACCTCCTTAGGCTGTGTCATGGGTGCGCGTTCTCAACCCTGGCAAAACAAACTTTCTAAATTAACTGAGACCTCAGATTTTCAGGGTTCACACTATGATTTCTATTCTCCAGATGAGGAAACCATGGCTCTGAGGAGTTGAGGAACTCACTTGAGCTACACAGCTCATGAGTGGTAGAGCTCATATTTCAATGCAGGTCAGACTGATGGGGAAGCCATTTCTGGTTAGTCTCAGCTGTCCTGGGAGCCCTCTGGGCCAGTCAGGTCCTAGCTCCACAGCCCTTTCCTTTCTTCTGGTTTTCCACCAAAGTCTCACCTGGATGTGGTGATGAGACAGGCGGAAAATCTCCTGTGCCATCAGCAAGGTCTTTGAGTCCATCACCAGGTAGAGCAGATGCAGGAGGGCAAGGAAACCTGCGCCTCTCAGGTCTGTGGCTGGATTTGCTCCTGTAACAAAGACCATGAGGAAACAGGGTGTGGCAGCAAGCAGTGCTTTAAGGGCTCAGTGTGGGAAACTGCCCTGACACTGGCCTCTTCCCAGGCTAGCAGAAAACGAGCAGCACAGGTCCACTTTCTGCCACATTTGTGGGACTCGTTCTCATGAGCTAAGCAGGGGCTATGCACCAAACGGTGACCCCAGCACCCTGGGGGCAGCCTCCCACATCAGTTTTCTTGCTGCTGCCTGACCCTCGATAGTCATTTCTCCACAAAACAACCAGAGTGATCCTTTACAAAAAAGGCTGAATTTATGGTTCTGGAACAAGATGAACAATGCACTTTCTGCCTATTCTTCCCACTAGGTACAGCTTTTAAAAGCCCTGGACATTAACATATAAAACAAACAGAAGACTCTGAAAGGAGGGAAGACAGACTAGCTAGGGATCTTGAGAGCTGAGAAATGACTCTCTAGTGAATTCCTGGGTTTCTTTTTGCTTAATACATCCCAACTGGTGCTGGAAAAGACAGCAACCTAGAAATGCCAACTTGGGAGCAGACCAAAAAGCCCCAAAGAAAGCTGCTCTCTCTAGTCAAAGGGTGGGGCAAGGGGCAGTGCAGCAAAACAGAAAGCTTTGGCCAGCATCCACCCTACTACAGCTAAACATCACAGAGAAAGATGTGGCCCCATTCCCACTCTTCTCCAGCAAAGGCTGAGTGGGGACCCTAGACTTCCACCCTGTCTTGGAAGGGGTGTCTTCCACAAGGCATCCCTTAGCTCCACTAGCGTAGCGTCAGAGAAGGCCGAGCGGGGAGCTAGGACTTTATCTTTCCCAGTGTTAAGGAGCTGCCTTTGCCTCCTCTGAGACGTAGAAGCCACATGGGAACAGAAATGAGGCATCCCTGCACCACCAGCCATGTTGGCCAGGCTGGTCTCAAACTTGGTATTAGCACAAGCCAAGTGGGATACGTGCACCTCCACCCCACCTGGCAGTAACAAGGTGACATCCCTCCTTACCCTGCTGGCACAGTAACAGAGGAGGCCTGTTAAAGTAGAAGATTTAA